GAGGTGTGAGGTCCATTCCTTGTTCCTTTACCTCTCTAATTTTCATGGTTCTAATGTGGAGTTATTGCGTTCCAGAAGAGCTTCTTGTCAGGCAGTTCTTGCTGAGATTGCTAGTATAGAGGAGATATCATGGCGACAAAAATCCCAAGCTCTTTGGTTAAAAGAGGGAGATCGTAATATAAAATTTTTTCACAGACTCGCTAATGCTCATAGAAGGAGTAATCATATAGGACATATACGGGTTAGTGTAGAGTTGTGGAGGGAGGAAGAGGTTCGACTTGGGATTGCTTCTTTTTATCAGAAGCTTTATACCGAGCCGCTTGCTTGGAGACCTAAACTTGATGGTCTCCGTTTTGAGGCTTTTTCTGAGATAGACAGGGAGGGGCTTGAGATTCCTTTTACTGAAGACGAAGTTCTAAAGGCTTTATCAAGTTGTAAAGGGGACAAAGCTCCGGGGCCTGATGTGTTCACTATGCAGTTTCTAATGGAAAGTTGGGCAGTTGTGAGAAGCGAGGTGATGGGCACTTTTCAGAAGTTTCATTCTAGTTGCACCTTTTGAGAAGTCGCTAAATGCCTCGTTCATTGCCCTTATCCCTAAGAAGGGAGGTGCTTCTGACATTAAAGACTTCAGACCTATCAGCTTAGTGGGTTATATCTACAAGCTCATGGTTAAAGTTCTTACTCTTAGGATGAGGGAAGTGATGGATGGGATTATATCGAATTCCCGTAATGCTTTTGTCGGAGGACGGCAAATTCTTGATTCAGTTCTTATTGCAGGCGAATGTGTGGACTCTAGATTGACAAGTGGTGTTCCCAGAGTCTTGTGCAAACTTGACATAGAGAAAACATATGATCATGTGAATTGGAATTTCTTACTTTATTTGCTACAGAGAATGGGGTTTGGAAGTAAATAGAGAAAATGGATTGAGACTTGTCTCTCGGCTGTAAAGTTTTCTGTTCTTGTGAACGAGTCTCCTAGTGGCTTCTTTAGGTGTACTCGGGGATTAAGACAAGGAGATCCCCTGTTGTCTTTCCTTTTCCTTATTGTCATGGAGGGCTTAAGCAGACTTATGCGCAGGGCAGAGGATCTTGATCTTATTAATGGCTTTATGGTGGGAAGAGATCCTGCCCATCAAATGGAGATCTCTCATTTACTTTTGCAAATGGCACCCTAGTTTTCTATGATGCTGATGCGTCTCAACTTAGATATTTGAGGTGCATTTTGGCCTGTTTTCAGGCTATTTCTGGTCTGAAGGTTAATGTGGCTAAAAGAGTGCTTGTTCCGATTGGGGATGTTTAGGATATCTCTTCTTTAGCTACAGCCCTTGGGTGTAGGCTAAGTTCTTTTCTTATTCAGTATTTGGGTTTGCCTTTAGGGGTTTCCTCTAGAACTGTGGGAAGTTGGGATCCTGTGATTGATAGATATGCGAAGAGATTGGCAAGATGGAAAAAGCAATATTTGTCTAAGGGGGGGAAAATTACGCTTATAAAGAGCACTTTATCAAGCCTTCCCACATATTTTTTATCTATGTTCCAAATTCCATGCTCGGTTGCTGATAGGATTGAAAAAATTCAAAGAGATTTCCTTTGGGGCAGAAGGGGAGAAGAGTTTAAGTATCATCTTGTCAATTGGGAACAAGTTTGCAATCCTTTGAAGTTTGGTGGTCTTGGTATCAGAAGACTAGTTCCCTTTAATCAAGCTCCCTTGGGTAAATGGCTGTGGAGGTACGAGAAGGAAAGACATCGCCCTTGACGATGGCTTGTATCATGTCGGTATGGGGAAGAGAGTGGAGGTTGGTCTACTCGTCCGGTTTCTCTCGTGGGAGGAGTAGGGGCGTGGAAATCCATTCGGAAGGGATGGGATGCTTTCTCTTCTCACATCAAATTCAGAGTTCATGATGGCAGATGTGTTCGCTTTTGGGAGGATCTTTGGTGTGGTGATCGGCCTTTATCTAGTTCGTTTTCCAATTTATACAATATTGCAGTTGATAGACATGCCTGTGTAGCCAACTGTTATCGGCTTGATAGTAGTAGGGTTACGTGGGACGTGCACTTTCGACATTCTTTTCAAGATTGGGAGTTGGACAAGGTATGTGTTTTTCTGGATTTGCTATATTGACAGGAGGCAATTGGCAGAGGAAGTGATGATCTAACATAGATTCCCTCCTCCCATGGTCGCTTTGAAGTTCGATCCTTATTCTTATGTCTTTCTAATTTTGATATCATTGATTTTCCGTGGAAGACCATCTGGCGCTCTATGGCTCCAACTTGGGTGGCATTCTTTATATGGACCGCTGTATGGGGTAAGATCCTGACGATTGATAATCTAAGGAAAAGAGGCAACTGTTTAGTTAACTAGTATTGCCTATGCAAACAAGATGGTGAGTCAGTTGATCATATTCTCATGCGTTGTCCTGTGGCGAGAGACTGTTGGAATCTTATCTTTGGCCTGTTTGGTATGCGTTGGGTTATGCCTCGTTATCCTAAGGTTTTGATTCATGTTTGGAGAGGATGCCGCGTGAGAAGAGATGTTCGCGATTACTGGAGAGTTGTACCACATTGTGTTTGGTGGAGCTTATGGAAGGAGAGGAATAGTAGAATGTTCGAAGGGAAAGAGTCGTCTACGACGATTTTGAAACTTCACATCAGTTTCGTGAAGAGGAAGTCATGTTCCTCTTCAGATGATTTAATCATTTTTTTTTTGATTCTTTGGGGCCTTAAAACGCCGGTTCCACTTTTGTATAAGGGATGTGTTCCCCTCTTGAACGCCTTTTTTTATTCAATTATTACTTATCAAAAAAAAAAAAATTCCCTTGGAAGATGATATAGCGCTCAAAGGCTCCTCTCAGAGTGGCATTCTTTGCTTGGACTACAGTTTGGGGTAAGATTTTGTCCATGGACATTCTGAGGAATAAAAGGCATATTACAGTGAATAGGTGTTGTATGTGTTAAATGGACAGAAAGTCCGTGGATCACCTTCTTTTGCATTACCCCATGACGACTGTTGGAGCCTTATTTTTGGGTTGTTTGGAGTCCAATAACGGATTATGCCTCAGTCTTCAAGGGATATGACTAATGCTTATTGCTTAGAGAGGCTACAGTATAGGGGCCCACGCCCATGATTTTTGGAGGGCGACTCCCCTTTGCGTTTGGTGGTGTACTTGGAAAGAGCGGAATAGAAGATCTTTTGAAAGGGAGGAAACCTCTATTGGAGCTTTGAAATTTCTTATTATTTGTTCTCTGTTTAGTTGGTTTATGGGGAGTAATTGTATATCAATAGAGGAAATTGTTGTTTTTTTGGGTTCCTTGGGACTTTCCTTTGGCTTCAGCCCTTTATATTCTTTAGGACGTGTTCCCCTTCTGAACCCTTTCTAATATATCCTTACTTATAAAAATATATATAGAGAGAGTTCATCTTCTATTACCGAATTAGAATATATAAATGATAATACAGTTTCATGAATTGATCAATAAACATTATTCACAATATATATGTAAAGCATTTGACCACAGATTCTTTTAGCATAAATCGTCAATTACAACCCATTTGCTATGAAGGACATACAAAAATCCCAACAGGTGGAGAGAGAGAGAGAGAGAGAAGGTAGGCAGTGGTGGGTAGAGAGAGAGAGAGATGGGGTTACTGGTATGGGATAAGATGGTCATTTAATAGTCAGATTTTTTTTATTAAAAACTCATTATAAAATGAAGGGCAATTATGACATTTTACACACAAATTTAATGTCGTTCTAAAACTAACTCTGATAGGGGATGTTTGTATAGGTTTTTGCAAACATAGCATCTGTAAGTGTTGTAAGGGTAAACCCCAACAGGAATCAATGTAATTTACCCTTATATTTTTAATGGAATTATGGAATAAATAATACTCGCTCCGTCCCAAAATAGTTGTCCATCTTGAGAACTGTGACTCACAATTTTAGAGTTTGTAAAATTAATGTATATTAAATACACTTAATTTCAATTTATATATTTAATAGAATAAACTATGTTAACACATATTTTGGGGGTAATTTTGTCTTCTTAAAATTTTAATGTAAAGGGTAAAATGTAATTTCGAGATGACAGATGAAGTTATTAAGTCTTTTTATCAAAATGAAGGGCCATAAGAATTTTTTAATAGACTTGTCCGCGGGGAAGGTCTTTGAAGGTCGGCAAAGCTCAGGGGAGGTTGACTGCAATTTTACATCTTACATTGAAAAATCTTCAAATAAAATAATCTGCATCTTTTATGCAGAAATATTCTTGTCAATATTGCGTATTTAAAACTAAAATATTGAACCCCTTCAGTATTTAAAAGTAAAATATTGAACACCTGTAGGGTGTACGGGATAGCATAAACCTTCAGGAAATGGCCTTGCCTTGTCATAAAGCAGATATTTTAAGCCTATTTTGCATATTATTTACATAACATTCGAGAAACTGCTTCACTAGAAGTATTTTTGTGACTGCTTAGTTTCAAAATATCCTATTGCACTTGAGCTAAATCCATTCATTATACAATGACAATGTGCAAAGAGCACATACAGTATCAACATTCAAACTGCTGGTAAGGTCCTGGTAAAGGGAACCCAACACTTCCTGACCAGAAGCATAAAGAAGCGTGTCCTAAAATAAGTGACCTTTTCGAAAAGTCAATGTATAAATTAAAGCTTTCTTCTCCAGGAGTTCTGCAAACTTTCCTAAATTAACAATGTGCAGAGCACATACAATATCAACTTTCAAACTGCAGGTAAGGTCCTGGTAAAGGGAACCCAAAACTTACCAAACCAGAAGCACAAAGAAGTGAGTCCTAAAATAAGTGTCCTTTCCGAAAAGTCAAATGTAAATTAAAGCTTTCTTCTCCTAGAGTTCTGAAAACTTTCAATGTCAATGTTTAAATTTTGGAGAACTGGTTAAACAAATTGTTGTTCAGAATTTTTGCTAAGGTGCATTAGACCTAAGCTACTACTTAAACAATGAAATCAAAACTCTACTCTAACCTTGGTTCCAGAGATAAAGAGAAAATCTTTAGCACGTGAAGGATCAAAAAATGCCATCTTCTTTTCAACCATGTCATATGCTGCCACCTGAAAAATATAACGAAGATAGCAGATTCAGTGTAATAAATGTATTTGCAAAAAAGAAGGGAAAAAAAAAAAAAAAAGAAAAAACCCGACACACACACCCACATAAACCTGTGAAGCAACAAATATCAGTAATAAAATGGACTCGTCAAAAAATTAGAGGAAGAAAAAATAATAGGAAAATAAAAATGACAGCAGGATTACTAAAATTCCATATGTTTTGATGTAGAACAGCTCGCTCACGATTATCTGAGCATACAAGATCATCGCAAATCAGGGAGGCTAAAAAGGTAAGGAGAATAGAAGGAAAAATAAATAAATAAATAAGGAAAAGTCAAAAGGAGATTTGGTGTAGTTGTAAACAATAGAAGGTATTATTCTCCATTACAAGAATTAAGGAGGATTCAGAAAATAAATAAGAAGATTTGGTGTAGCTGCCAACAATAGAAGATATTATTCTCCATTGCAAGATTTAAGGAGGATTCTGCTCCATCAAATCTCAGATTTCACCTTTAATATTATTTCACGCGTGCTTTCTTTTTTTATTTTATTTTTGACTTGCCTATATAAAGGCAAGAGATGTAAGTCTACAGACATCATTATTATCAATATAATTTCAGTTTCTCTCTTGTGAGTGTGTTCTTTGTGAAATCAGGTTTAACCCTGTTCTTTATCGTTTCCGCTATGTTAGTTGGTATCAAAGCAAGGTTCTGAATCCAAAATTCGCCTTTGTTTTTGATGGCCGGTTCACGAGATGGAAGCAACCCCTCCAACAACAGTGTTCATGATGGAGTAGCTCTTTTGAGGGCTGAGTTTATTGAGTTCCAGACCAACGTTAATCGAACCTTACTTGATATGCATGAAACTATGCGTCAAGTATTGGCGAGATTGACAACGGTAGAATTTAACCGCGAGAACAACAGGCTACCCAACAACGGTGATCATGGACATCCTACTGGTAATCGCAACCCAAACCCACTGAATATGCAACCAGCCTATAAGGAAAACGTCGGTTTTGGTAACAACCAAGCCGTACAGGTGTTTGGAGATAATCGAGGTCGATGGGAAATTGATGATTCCGGGGATTTTCGTATGAAGATTGACCTACACACCTTTCAAGGCCATCTTCGTATTGAATAATTCTTGGACTGGATTAGTGAAGTTGAACGTTTCTTTGACTATATGAAAATCCAGGAGGAGAAGCAAGTCAAACTTGTGGCCTATAAGTTGAAAGGTGGCGCATCAACATGGTGGGATCAAGTGCAAACTACCAGTGCACGTGAGGGTAAAGATCCGGTACATACATGGGTTAAGATGAAGAAGTTGATGAAAGCTCGAATTTATGATTAAGAACAGGTTCTTTATCAGAAATATCAGTCCTGCACGCAAGGAAGTAGAACGATTGCTGAATACGCTAAAGAATTTTATCAGTTGTCATCCCGTACCAACTCGGTAGAACCCGAATTTAGCATGGTGACCCGTTTCAAAGGCGGGTTACAATGAGATATTGAAGAGAAAGTGGCGCTGCAACCGCTATTTCAACTGTCTGAGATTGTCATGGCGGCAGAGAGGGCAAAATCGTTACTGGAGAAGTCGAAGAATTGGTCTCGTGGTTCATATAATACCCCACGTCCTACATATGACATGGGTAAACAGACCACGGTAGCCCCTGTTCCAATGACATGGTGAGACATTAGAGATGATCCAACAAAGGCCAAACCTGCAGCACCCATAGGCCCTGCTAGAAGGGGAGCCCGAGCTGTGAGAGAGAATCCCGATGCACACCCAAGTATGGGCAAGCGTTTTCAATGTGAAGAACCTGGCCATAAATCCAACAATTGCCCCAAATGACTGACAGTAAATCTGGTTGAGCATGAGGAAGGCGAGGGTGAGGAAGGTGAGTTCCTTACCTTTGAAGAAGAAGAGGTGATTGAAGGAGACAATGGAGAGTTGTTGTCCCACTCTTTAGCCGTGAGGAGGTTGATGTTCACGCCAAAGAAGGAGGAGCACCCGCGGCGTCATAATGTGTTCCATACACGTTGCATTGTCAACCATAAGGTATGTGATGTTATTATTGATAGCAGCAATAGTGAGAACATTGTTTCCTTAACAATTTTTCAAAAATTGGGACTTAAAATAGAGAAACATCTCCATCCATAGAAAATTTGATGGATCAAGAAAGGCTCAGAAACATGAGTAACTGAAACCTGCACCGTTCCATTCTCAATTAGGAAAGCATATGCAGAGGAAGTGCGTTGTGATGAAGTCGACATGGATGCATGCCATATGATATTAGGCAGACCATGGCAATTTGATGTCGATGCCACTCACCGTGGTAGAGACAATGTGTATATTCTATACAAGAATGGTCAGAAGATTGTTTTAGGTTCGCTGAAAGAAGTCGAATTTCCCAAAGGAAGTTCAGTTATGTTGATAGTGAGGAATTTCTGGGCAAAGTAACAACTGCACCTAAAATCTTTGCTGTTATGTACAAGGAGGAAGTAGTTAAACAACCTCCTTTTACAGTACCAGCAATAGCGCAGCCATTACTATAGGAGTTTAGTGAGTTGGTGCCAGGAAACTTGCCTGATAGTCTCCCTCCCATGAGGGAAATTCAACACCACATTGACTTGGTGCCCAGGGCGAGCCTGCCAAATCTACCACATTACCGGATGAGTCCCAACAAGAGTCAGATCTTACAAGAACAAGTGGAGGAGTTACTACAAAAAGGGTTGATTCGGGAGAGCATGAGCCCATATGTTGTTCCGGCCTTGCTAGTACCCAAGAAAGATGGTAGTTAGAGAATGTGCGTTGATAGTCGCGCAATTAACAGAATCACTGTCAAGTACAGATTTCCCATTCCATAGTTGGATGATATGCTGGATATGTTAGCGGGATCAAAAGTCTTCACCAAAGTGGACCTCAAGAGCGGATACCATCATATCAAAATCCGCCCTGGGGATGAGTGGAAAATGGCGTTCAAGACAAAAGGAGGACTGTATGAGTGCTTAGTCATGCCATTCGGATTATCCAACACGCCAACTACTTTCATGCAGTTGATGAATCAGGTACTCAAACCATTTATTGGTCAATTTGTAGTTGTTTATTTCGACAATATTCTGGTTTATAGTCAAACAGAGGCAGAACACCTTTTGCACTTGAGAGAGGTATTAACAGCTTTGCAGAAGAATAAACTGTTCATTAATCTAAAGAAGTGTAGCTTTGTGACCTAGTATTCCTAGGCTATGTGGTTTGAAGTGATGGCATTCGGGTAGATGAGAAGGTGAGGGTCATTCGGGAGTGGCCTACGCTGAAGAATGTAAAGAAGTACGCAGTTTCCATGGCTTAGCCACGTTCTACCGAAGGTTCATCAAGAACTTCAGTAGTATTGTGGCCCCCATCACAGAATGCATAAAGAAAGGAAAATTCCAATGGGGAGAGGAAGCTTAGATGAGTTTTGCCTCAAGCAAGGAAAAACTGTCAACAACCCCAATCTTAGTCCTTCCAGATTTTGAGAAGCTGTTCCAGGTGGATTGTAATGCCTCAATAGTGGGAATCGGAGCAGTTCTATCACAAAGAGGAAGGCCAGTAGCGTTTTACAATGAAAAGCTGAGTGAAGCACGCAAGAAGTGGACTACCTATGAGTTGGAATTCTATGCGATGGTGCGAGCTTTGCATACGTGGGAGCATTATCTTATCCATCGAGAGTTCATGCTATTTACAGATCACCAGGCACTGAAATCCATTAACAATCAAAACAGTGTTAATCAGATGCACGTGCGATAGGCGGCTTATATCTAGCGATTCACCTTCTCGCTAAAACACAAGTCAAACCAATAGAACAAAGTTGCAGATGCACTAAATCGGAGAGCAGCTTTCTTAGTGACTATGAGGGATGAAATCGCAAGGTTCGAGTACTTGAAGGAGTTATATGAGGTTGACGATGATTTTGGCCAAGCCTCGGCAACGTGTAAAACAAGCCAATCCGTTAAAGGGTTGCACATGTAGGAAGGATTTCTCTTTAATGGCAATCAGTTGTGTATTCCATAGAGTTCTTTGCGGGAGCAAGTGGTTTGTGAATTGGACGGAGGAGGATTAGGAGGACATTTGGGGTGTGAAAGACACGAGAGCTGGTAGAAGAACGGTATTATTGGCCGCAACTCAAGTGTGACGTGGAGAACCATGTGCGGTGGTGCTCAATCTGCAAACTAATAAAGGGCAATCTCATAATACTGGTCTTTACACACTGCTATTCCAGCTGCCTATTCCAGATGCTCCATGGGAGGATTTATCCATGGATTTTGTTCTAGGGTTGCCAAGGACGCAGTGAGGAGCAGACTCTGTTTTTGTGGTGGTCGATCAATTTTCCAAGATGTCCCATTTTATTGCATGCAAGAAGATGAACGATGCAATCCAAATGGCCGATCTGTTCTTTAAGGAGGTGGTTCATTTACATGGAGTGCCACGGTCCATTACCTCAGATCGTGACGCCAAGTTCCTGTCTCACTTTTGGAGGACTTTATAGAAGAGATTTGAAACCTCTCTTAATTTCAATAGCACCAGTCACCCCAGACTGATGGCCAAACAGAGGTGTTGAATAGGACCCTTGGAAATCTAATTCGCTGTATTTCAGGAGAGAAACCAAAACAGTGGGATCTTGCTCTTGCCCAGGAAGAATTTGCTTATAATTGCATGGTTAACGAGTCCACTGTCAAATCCCCATTTGCGGTAGGGTATTGATATCCTCCAAAAGTTGCTTTGGATTTGATATCCTTACTAAAGTTGCCGAGGAAGAGTGTTGCTACAGAGAAAATAGCTGAGCACATTAAGACCATTCAGGAGACTGTTAAGAAACATCTAGAGGAAACTTACGCCAAATACAAGGCTACAGCTGACAAGAGACGAAGGAAAAGAGTATTTGAAGAAGGGGACCTAGTTATGGTGTATCTAAGAAAAGAGAGGTTTCCAGTGGGAACATACAACAAGTTAAAGGCCAAGAAATA